CAGGGATCTATGAGAACCCTTACTTCATCTTGCAGCATTGTGTGTGAATTTGGCAGTAGCTGGACTCTGGCTTGTTTGTTTTCTCCAAGCCGGAGAAAGATGCTAGAAACAAAGCCTGGATTTTTTCCCCCCTGGGTTATGGTGAGAGAATCAAGTCAGGTGCTAGCTGCTACCAGGCTTGCATATCGTGCTGAATAAACCATGGACTGAATTATGTTATTTTTATACATGAGAGTAAAGTTAGGTACAGTATTTCATTGAAGATTAGAAAAGACAGTTACATTTTAAAAATCTGATCAAAATGTAACAACATTCATTCTGTGGACATATGTATGTGTTTAAACTTTGTTTTTATCATGCTGAGGTGACTGCTTTGGTCATCTGCTGCTGAATTTGCTCAGCTTAAATATCTTTTGCCCTAAATTTATTGCAGCTTTAGCATTCATTTCCCAGTGTTTAGTGTGGTTCTGTGGCAAGTGGATGTCATTTCTGTTTGTTTTCTGCATGGATTTTTTTTAAGTCTGTGAGGGCTTTTGAGACAACACTGCTGGGACTTTGATTTATGTTCAGACTGAATTGCATTTTCCACTCGTAGGAGTCATCATGCTGGCCCTGATCATGTGAGGAAACTTCAATATGAGCTAGGAATCCACAGTTTTTCACTCTGGCAACTTCTGCAATCTAAGGAGCTGGAAAAAATAGCTCCAAGATTTTCTCTTTTTTTAAATTGCCATGGAAAATATCCTTTACCTACTTACAGTGCAAAACTATGTTATAGTTCCACTGAAGAATTTATCAAATAATTTGGGACGTTGGGGATTATAAAGCCGGTATGTGGGGAGCTTTTTAAAAAGTCAAATAAAAGTAACTATTTGACTGCTTCATTGCAAGTGTTTTTCTTCCATCCATCACTGAAAAGTCAAATTAGATGTTACATGATTTTTCATAACTACTGTATGCCTCACGTTACTTGTTTTTAAAATAGCAATCATGGGGCCTCAGTCAGGCCTGGGAACACAGAGAAAAGCTTTTAACTCTTCCACACTGCACCATAAACATGATGAAAATTGTCTGTCCTCATAGCTATCAGGAAGGAAGGAAGTTGACAGTGTTCTTAGTTTTTAAGATTAGTTGTGTAATGATACTCTTTCTATAGGACAGAAAGTTTCAGATTGCCTTGCTGTTTTCCTGGAATATCATATTTCTACTATGCTTGTAATATTTCTCTGCTTCATATTCATTCCTCAGTATGAGTGACAGCACTTATGTTAATGTAACCTTCATTAAGTGTTCTTAGTTCTAATTATTGTGGTGACGAAATATAGAAAATCCAATCTGTGAAGAGAATTTTGACTTCTGTGACAGAATGGAAGGAGGGCTGCTCCATGCTGTCACCACCACACAATCTCTCCTTTTAGCTGGTTTCTTGATCCATTGGCCCTGCACATTTTTGTTCGCAGAAAGCTCTTTTAACTGAAGAACTAGGTATTTATGGCAGGTAGTATGAATGTAGGTTGGCTTTGTCTTGTGGCTGTTCTCATGCCATTTGGCCTCCTCCTCTTTATAATGCCTTTACTCCTATCCAGAACTTTGAAAAGTTACTGAGAGACAATCTGTGTTAGAATTCACACAATCTACTTTTTGTACTACAGAATCCCCTTAGCTTGCAACAAAATCTTCTATTTATTTATTAGTTGTGTTTACTCTGCCTTGAGCTCATTGTTTCCTCCAGTAAATTCAAGGCAGCACACATTGCTATTTTGTCCCTCACTTCATTCTCACAATAACCCTGTGAGGTAGGTCAGGCAGAGAAGGTGTAACTGGAACGACGTCAAGTTTCGTGGTTCATTGTGGTTCTTGAACATCGGCCTTCCAAGTCCCAGTTCATCACTCTGACCACTCCATTCTGTCTAGAGCTGCCCTGGGAACAACGTGTTTTATAATGATCATCGTCATCATCTTAGAACTGCAGAACTGGGAGGTAGCCTATGGATTATTGAGTCCCCCTGCTGTCAGAGAGGCACAGTGGGGAATCAAACTTGCAGCATCTGGCTCCACAGACTGATGCCTAAACCACTAAGCTATCTATCACAAGGGATATCCCCGAATACCGCTGGCTGTTGAACATGGCCATGGGGGTGTTGTTGCCTTCATGTCCTGTTGGTAAACTTTCCAGTGACATCCTGTTGGGGTGCTAGGTTAGGCAGACCTGTGGTGCCACAGGTCTTCTTATGGTCTTGAGCTTACTGTGAAAAAGTGGTGCAGGGTAAGCTTTCTGAGGGCAAAAGATTTGGCTTATTTTCAAAGAGTCTGTCATGTATGACATGAAAAACCTATTTGCAAGAGGAAAAGGGCAAGTTCCCCTGCCCCCTCATACAGAATATACAGTGGTGCCTCGCTAGACTATTACCTCAAAAACGGTTAATTCACAAGACGATGGGTTTTTGCAATGACTACAGCGCTTCGCAAAACGGTTTTCCCTATGGGCGATTTTCGCTAGACAGTTTCGGTCCGCGCTTCACAAGATGGTTTTTTGGGAGGACCGTTTTTTGCAAAATGACGATTTTAACAGCTGGGTCCGTCCTTCGCAAAATGGTTTCTCTATGGGCAATTTTTGCAAGACGACAATTTCCCTCCCATTAGAACACATTAAATGGATTTCAGTGCATTCCAATGGGGAACCGCATTTCGCAAGATGATGTTTTCACAAGACAGCGATTTTCGCAGAATGAATTAACATTGTCTTGCGAGGCACCACTGTATACCTCAATTGTTGTTTGCAATGATAAAGAAAGCAGAGTTTACTTTAAAATTAGTTCATGTCCTGTATTTTAAAACTGTTTGATTGATTTATAGTTTTAGTTGTTGTGAACTGCCTTCATTCTCCCATGGGTAGAAAGGCAGCTTATAAACAAACAAATAAAGTAATACCAGGAAAGTTTTTACAGAACACTGTGCAGCTGTTGAACTCTTGGTGTCCTTTGCTGGCTTCCCTTTGAACTCTTGTTGACTTATGACGATGGAATCTCATCCAGTTCATCATGATCTTTTTGGACACGTGATGGAGAAGAAGATGTTACCTGCTCACAAGCATGATTTAGGGTGTTAGTAGTTGGTGTGGGGTAATCCATAAAACCTAGAATGCAAGGCTTGATGAGCAATTGCTGAAAGGTAGTCTTCTAATGTGAATTGTTTGTTGTTCCACCATGAGCCCAGAACAGCACAAAGACATGTGGGCTAGCAGGTATTTCCTGAAAATTTTCATACCACATACCTACTCTTGGTGAACTGAATTTGCTAAGACTTGTAACAGAACAAGTTTTGGGGATGTGTCCTAAATACCATGTTTCCCCGAAAATAAGACAGGGTCTTATATTAATTTTTGCTGCAAAAAACACATTAGGGCTTATCTTCAGGGGATGTTTTATTTTACAGTCATTTTATCATCTTCTGGTTGCTGCACAATGGTGGAGGGCGGGGTTTCACTTACCTGGGGGTTATTTTTGGGGTAAGGCTTATATTACGAGCATCCTGAAAAATCATACTAGGGCTTATTTTCAGGTTAGGGCTTATTTTCGGGAAAACGGTAGTGTGTTCAGCTGGACAATAGCAATCCTTCAGTTTAATTAATTTATGGCAGTGTGTTCAATGTGTTTTGGGGGGATAGAGAGAGTTCTAGTTAAGCTGGACAGTAGCAATCCTTCAGTTTAATTAATTTATGGTGAATGTGAAAAATGTCTCAGATATATGCTATGAACACTTGAGAAAAAAAAGATGACTCTCTTTAGATAACCTCTCTACAACCACGTTCTGAGCTATTCTTTACCTTTAAGAAGTTTTTTGGAGGGAATGGGGGTTCAATAACCTTAACTGCCTTCTCCAAGTAGGGGCTTTCCAAACACTTTAGAATGCCAAGCCCATCAGTCCCATTGGATGGTATGGTGGACATTGTAGTCTGCCATATCACAGAGGGAGCAAGGCTGAATAAGGCTGCTTTAGAAAAATATTTTGAGACTTTCTAAAAAGAGAGCGAAATGAGATTTTCTGCTGAATAGAGAACCTTCCTCTTTTTGAAGCGTGATCAAAAGACAGCCTTCTATTTGAAGGTGATTTCTGTTTGAAAGGCTGTTTGATCTAAATCCAGTTTAAAGGTAAAGAATCATAAGAGAGGGAGGGGACCATAACATTACCCATTAACTAGACAGCAGATTGACCAGAAAGACATACAGGTCACCTGGTCACGAGACATCCCTGCGATGGAGAAATGTGTTGTATTTCCAGTGATAGTAATCATTTCTCAGTTTGTATCTATGTATAGAAACTTGCATGTGTAAGTCAGTGTCCTATTTGGGGATGATGCATAAGGATCACCCCAAAGGAAGGTGACTTCAGGAAACAAAGGAACAGGACCTTATCTTGTCAGTATGTTTCTTTTTTCATTATGGGGGAAGAATGTGGTCCGGAAAAGAACCACATAGTCCATCAACCGGTTGGCAGCTTTGAGAGAGTTTCTTAGATTATTTCCAGAATGTCCACTACAGGCCTGCCAAACTCATTTTCTGGTGTGTTTCCCTTTGTTAGCACTCCAAACAAAGACTTGGGCTACATCCAGTTATTATTGCCAACAATAGTTATTATGACCTATAGAAATCCCATTGATTCAATAGGTCTGCTCTGGTTAAGGACTGATGTTTGGAAGCAGGATGTTTGATGCCGCAAGAGGGAAAGGAGAGCAATCCGTGAAATATTCTGCAAAGCTGTGTGTCTTTAAAGTTCCTCAAAGCACTTTGTTTTGTTAAATGGAGAAGGGCAGCATTAGTCATGTGGGAAGGAAAAGCTGTGTCATTGGTGCTCTGTGGAACAACGCATGCATGTCTGAAGGATGAATGGCTTTTAAGTTTCCAGGTTCTGACTTAGTCACTGGGTGAGTTGTACTGTTGTTGCTTATAGCCTCCTGTCCTAAGATTATGACTTGATATCTTTCTGTCACCTGCTTACAGCAGCTTTTCCTCTAAAGCCGATCATCCAGAGGAGGAAGAATCTAACCATGGACTGAATTCTGGAGAGTACTAATAGCCAGCTAACACTGGGTTAAGGCTCCTGCTTTTAAATACTGTACATGTGACAGCCTTGTTGAAACCATCAGGGTGAGTGGTTATGCTCTGCTACCTACGTCTGCTTTGACATTGAAATATATGCTTACACAGCTATCCTAACTTGCTGTAGTTGTGCCTGTGTGCCACCCTTTTTGTGTCCTTTTTTTGTAATGCTATGCTAGATGGAGTATAGGAATTTTGTACCCCTTTCTCCTGATTTGATTTTAGTTGTTGTATCACCAAACGGTCTACCTGTAAGCCGTGTGAGCACTGCTGTCTGTATTTTTAGTGTGTGATTTTTGAAGGGTGGAAATGGCTTTGATAGTCCCGGAGAATTGTCAGTCCATTTGACCAAGCACATCATGTTTCAGAGTCTGTGAAATGTGGTGGTGGGCTTCACTCCCTACCCCCAGGCAGCTGGCCAGCCATGTTGTCTTCCAATATTTGTTTACTCAAGTCTGCACCTGAGTAGCTCTGGCATTCAGCCCAGTGTTTTTTTCTTCAGGCAGTACATCGCTTCTTGTCAGCCGCAGCAGCAGCCAGGCCGCCTGTTATGGGAACCAACAAGGCAAAAGTAATCGATGCCAGGTTTGTTGGTAACAGCAGCTGAGGCTTTAGTACAAACAAATGGTTATTTGTCGACACAGCACATGACTCTGTGGTGGGAGTCTGTCAAAAAGTGTTTTCTTCATTGGGCTGACACATATTTGTGCAGCCGTATAACTGTCTGCGCTTGAGAAGGCGCGTGACTGACTGTGGATTCAGCAAGCGGGCCTCAGATTCAAAGGCTTATAAAAGTTGCTTTTTTTGGACTACAACAACCAGAATTCCCCAGCCAGCATGGCAAGTAGCCTGACCACTAGCCGTGGCTGAAGAATTCAGGGCCCCAAAGACTTTTTCTAGACTCTACTCACAATTCTGAAATAGAAATGGGTGAAGTACGGCCACGAGAGAAAGGCATGCATTTTCTCATTGCTTTATGTGTTTCAGGACGGAGCAGCCATAGCAAATTGTCTGTTTGTTTTACATGTATAACGTAAGATTATCTTCTAGATAAATGAGTTTGGGTTGTAACAGCCTAGTAATAAACATTTAAATGATTTAAGTACGAATTATGCTGACTTGTTCTGGGTCCCTTGTGGGTTGAATGGGCTATAAAACTAAACAAGCTCTCAAATTAGCCTCTTGAGGACAGCAGCTAAAAGAATCATGCAGGGTTTGGAAGGCAGGACTGGTGGTTTCTAGGAAGATTGTTGGAAGTCTGGATACTGCTCGAAGTGCAAGCATTTCAGAATTTGGTGGAGTCTTGGTCACAGAAACTGGAACATTGTGTAGTTCAGCTTCTTCTCTTAGAAACCTAATCATATGTGAACTGTAAATATTGATAGTAGAGGAGAGTCAGCACTCTGTGTATGTTTAGAGGTCCTATCATTGAAATGAGGTTATGGAACTGATCCATCATGCATCCACCTTCAATAGCAGAACTTGTATGATAAGGGATAGCAGTTCCTCCTACCAGTGATCTACCTATCCCACTACTGACCAGTTCAGCCTTTGCCAACCTGATGGCTTCCAGTTATGTTGAACTACAACTCCAGTGTTTCCTGCCAGACTGGCCAGTGACTGTGGATTTCCAGATTCCTGTATAGGGCCTTTCTTAGTCTTCTTGCCCAGGGTTCTCCTTATGTATTGGTTCTTAGTATTGAAACTAAGGCCCTTACATGTGGAAGGAAATGTTCCTACCCCTGGACTGTGATCCAGTTCTTTTCATAACTTGAACTCATGCTTACATGGAAGGAAGTGCAGTCCTTGCAGTGCAAACTGGTTCATGCTTCTTTAAATGGTAGGTCAGAGTTTTAGGAGAAATACAGCAAGCTTGTGATTGCTGTGCTTGGCTTTACAAAACCACAGTGTTCAGAGTTCAGGAAGTCTTGTGACAAGCTTAGCTTAGAGGCCAGGGGCTTACACCCAGTCCCACCCCTTCTTCCCAGGTAGCTATGCAGCTTTTATCAAAAGCTATCCTTTCTTTATAGTTCTGCCTAGGCTGTCTGATTGCCATCAGCAGAACAGCAGGCTGACATTCATGTACCTGCTCAGTGGCTTTATTATTGGTGAAAGGCAACTACTTAAATTCAGGAGTTTTGTTGTGAATGGCAAAAGAGCTTACTACAGGCTGAAGTATACCTTGCAGGTAATGTGTCACTAAGAGAAGCAATTCCTCAAGTGTTGACTGTGTGTCATAGCAGAAGCTTTTTTGTGTGTGCAGTGTTCAAGTCAGCTTGCTTTATTTTGTAACTGATCTTTGGGACACAGATACGCATTCTTGTTTTGCAAATCTAAGGACCTTGCTAGATGCTGATTCCCTATTTAGAAGCAATACACCCCGAAGAGAAGTATTTATTTTGACAGGAGCTTGCATCAAATCACATTTAGCAAATTAGCAAACTTTTGTTTTCTAATTGATCAACTGAGAGATAACATGGTTTTGTTGGTATGTCTGACAGCTCGAGAAATGTAGCACTGAAAGATTTGCATACCCAGAGGGATAATATTCTAGTTGTAAAAAGGAAGACATTTGCTTTAATTTCTGATCTTACTCTAATTTCTCAGACAGAAAAGACAGAAAAAATTCTGTTCCTGGATAGTAATGTGGTGGTTATTCATAATGTATAATTTGGCCCTCAGAGAATGTGGGTGCAGTTGTTTGTCCACCTTTTCTAGGAAGCAGCACAGCTAGGGACAGGCTGTTGAACCATCTTCCAAAGTTTCTCTTGCACTTTATTAGCAATGTCTAGAATTTCATCTCTTATATGTATAACTATTTGCCTTGGTTCTTCTGTAAGGAGATGTCCTATGACTTGTACAATCTTCTTGTCCTCCTTTTCAACTCCTTGAAGTGTATTATCATCCAGTAGCTCCTCATCCAGTTTTCTGCTCACTCTTCTTTACCTCAATGTTATTAACAGTATAGTATGTCCTTCAAAATCCCTTTTGGCATCTTAGAAAACCCTGAAAAGGGTTGTCATAAGACAGAAGTAACTTGATGGGACATGATTATTGATTATTGTCTATTTGCATTTCTTTCGTGAAATTTTGTTTGGGGCTGTTTCCCTCCTTGTTTGGGAAGCCTCTCTCATCCCATCCCCAGCAGCATCCCTGGCATATAAATTATGCTGGTGATCTCTTAAGATTCTGTGCTTGGTTCTCTGTTCTATGGTATGTATTCTAATAGATACTCTCTTATTGTGGTTTTGAAGTACCCTGAAGTATTTTGGAGAAATCTTGGCTTTTCCATTCAATTTCCTTTATGGGACTTCCTTCATTTTAGAGAGATTTGAACTCAGACATGACTGTGCTAAGAGTTTCCTGTCCCTTTCCCACTTGAACATGAAAATAAGATGTAAATTAAAATTTCAACACAGTTTCTGTTTTCCAAATTTAGGTAGCACCACTTAGGCTTAAGTCTACAGTACATTGTTTCTGGTCAGTTCCACAAGCAGCTATTCCAGTGCAGAGTTGTTCGTAGAATGTAGAGATTTCGCTTCCTTCTTGTGTCTGAGGTACCGTAATTGATCTTACACTTTACTGTAATTGCTTCTCTTTTGCATTCTTTGCTGGTTTCATTTTTCATCTCAAAATCACACGATCTAATGGTAATGGAAATGCCTAACTTCTGGCGTCTGGTACTGTTGCTCATAGTGACTCTGTGAAGTAGTCACCCTCAAGAGGGGCTGACTACCCCACAGCATCCCAGGACATCTTCTATATATCCAGGGAAGACCATATCCCACTTTTTTCTCCATTCCACCAAGTTTCTGTTATGCTAATTACACCTATGCTTTCCATTAAAATCAAAGATTCCAACTCCTCTATCTTGGCTCAGAAATGTATAGCATTAGTACAGAAATTTTCTAAACATGGTGCACTCTAATCTCTGTGTTTCCCCATGGTCCTTCAACCCTCTTCAACCTGCTGTTTTGTTTTACTGTATGCCTGTGGCCTATTTCCACCCTATCATTATTTGTGTAGCTGGAAAGTTTTTCACCCACATCTCCTGAATTAGAAACTCCAGTCAAGGTTCAGTTTAACTAAGACATCCTTTTTTTCTTTTTGCTTTTCCTCAGGCTATCATGTGATTCCACCACTCTGCAGAAGCAGAGGTAGACATGAATTCCAATCACACTGCTGAGAATGGATGCCGGGCAAAGGAGGTTATCCAGGTAAATACAGGTTGTTGAGCAAGCCAACAGGGGTGAGACTGTATGGACCATGGGGATGTCAAGTAGTGGTGAGACTGTTCCCAGTCCTTTCTAGAAGAAGAGGCAGTGTGTAACCTGAAGCAGGCAGTGACACATATCAGAGATCGCCAGATAATTCCTTTCTATTCCACTGAGGATTCAGTGGGTGGAAGATGCTATTTCTTCTGTTGGTCTTTGATGATGACACACAAGTGGTGTCCTGCTCTTTTGTCATCTAAGAAAGTGCAGTGGTTTGAAACTTGCAATGGAACTCATTCACAAAGCACAGTGGCCCACCTCCCCAGAAGGACATTGATATTATAGATAGCTGCCACCATTGTATCTGTTCCATTCTCCTCCAGCACTAAGCATATCCAATTCTTTTACTTTTCTCCTAACTCATGTTCTTCTCCAGCATTCTCAGGGTGAAATCAAGTTTGTAATCTATAAAGAATAAGCAGATAAAAGGCAGAACCCTTTAGGCATAAAATGGTAGAAACAGAAGATTGATTGATTTTACTTGGATACCTTTCCATAGTGCTTGAAAAAGTTTACAACATAATTAGGCAAGGAAAAAACAAAATTTTCCAGGCCTTTGCCTCATGTCATCTTCAATTTGTAATTCTCCCTTCTTTTTCTACCACTTCTTCCTCCAGAAGTGGCAATTCAATTTTAAAACAGTTACAGGGCCCCTCTGCACTGTTTAGCATCCCACAATATGAGTTTTTCAAAACTGGAAGTTGACTTGACCTTTTCAGGTTCCTCCTCCTCCACCACCTCTTATTCTTCTGTGGCTTTTGGCATTGTTGGCAGTATGTGCAACCCTCAAGGAGTCCTGGGGCAGCAAATTAGATCCTGGGTTCATTAAAATTGCCTGTCTCTGTTGTACACCAACACACAGGCCCAGTACTGGCCTCGTGGCGCAGTGGTTAAGCCGCTGTGCTGCAGCCAAAACTGTGCTCACGACCTGGGGTTCAATCCCAGGTAGCCAGCTCAAGGTTGACTCAGCCTTCTATCCTTCCGAGGTCGGTAAAATGAGTACCCAGCTCGCTGGGGGGGGCAATGTGTAGCCTGCATAATTAACTTGTAAACCGCCCAGAGAGGGCTTGTAGCACTATGGGGCGGTATATAAGCAGCACACTTTGCTTTTGCTTTTGCTTTGCTTCAGTGTTTGAAGATTTGCCTTTAAAAAAAAAAAGGCAGATGGCAAAGTTTCAGTGGATAAAGGATAGCTCTTTTAACTGAAGAACTAGAGGATGATCATACCTCAAAGTAGGAGAGATCACAGTCCTAATTAAATTTCATAGTGAACATTTGAAATCCTGTCTGTAGAGTAAGCCCAATAGTAACTTTCCATCCATTCTTCCCTGCTAAATAAATTGCTGCTACCATGATTCTCAGGATGTGCATGCACACACACACACCAAGGCATCTGTGGAGATTCTCACACTGAGGCAATACCGCCCAGAGAGTGCTTGAAGCTATGGGGCGGTATATAAGCAGCACACTTTGCTTTTGCTTTTGCTTTTGCTATGCTTCAATGTTTGAAGATTTGCCTTTAAAAAAAGGCAGATGGCAAAGTTTCAGTGGATAAAGGATAGCTCTTGGATCCTATCAATCTCAGGATGATCATACCTCAAAAGTAGGAGAGATCACAGTCCTAATTAAATTTCATAGTGAACCTTTGACTGAAATCCTGTCTGTAGAGTAAGCCCAATAGTAACTTTCCATCCATTCTTCCCTGCTAAATAAATTGCTGCTACCATGATTCTCAGGATGTGCATGCACACACACACACCAAGGCATCTGTGGAGATTCTCACACTGAGGCAATGCATGTGTGTATCCCTGAGAATCACAGCAGCAGCATTTTGTTTAGCAGAGAGCAATAGATGGAAAATGATGCTTGGGCTTATGCTATGAACAGGATTTCAGCTTTTATCATGACTCCAGACACCAGTTACAGTGGGGTCTTGACTTGAGAACTTAATCCATATTGGAAGGCGGTTCTCAAGTCAAAAAGTCTGTAAGTCAAGCCGTCTGTAAGTCAAGGGTCCACTGTAATTACTTCTTTTCTGAAGTTTTGGGGTAGAAGTAATACATTTTTTTATCAAAATCCTGTTGCTCAGTATAGCAAATTGCACTAGAGTTTGCCCATTGAATCAATGGAAATTTGGTAGTCAGCTTCTCCATAGATTCAAATGGGTTTACTCTAATTGCAACTTCCTTTAGTATACTTAGTCACAGTTGGAGTAGGCCCATTTGAATCAATTGGTCAAAGGCTTTTGGCTACTTCTACTATATTTCCTTTGGTACCTTGTTTCCGTGTTGCAGGCAGAATAGGAGCCTGATGAACATGATTTATTTTGTTCCTTAACTGTTTTAACTCTGAATGGTGGGGTTTGTTTTCGTATCTGTTTTATATATTTTGTTGTGTGGTTAAAAGACAGCAATGAAGACTATGTATTGTATAATTGAATTCTAAGATCTTAATCTGTTTCTTCTCAGATGTCAAACTGAGTGTGGTGGGAGCTTCAAGATGTAATTTATAATATGTGAAAGAATATCACATTTGTTATTCAGGCTGCAAACTGTTGGTGCTCAAACAGTATAAGCAAACATGAACCTGGCCAGATATTTCAAATAGTACATAAATTATGTGTTTTATATACAGTGGTGCCTCGCTTAACGAGCGCACCGTAGAACAACGAATCCGCACAACAAGGGGGTTTAGCGATCGCAAATGCAATCGCATACCGATGGTCCCTATGGCCGAAAATCGCTTTGCGATGATCGGTAAGCGTTTCGCTTACCGTTCTTCGCAAAACGAAGCCGCGGATCAGCTGTTTGGCGGCTCCAAAATGGCCGCCGGAAGCCCCGAAATGGCCGCGCGCAGCGTTTTCGCGCCCTCCCCTCGCTTACCGAGGGCGCGAAAATGGCTGCCGGCCATAGGAAAACTTCGCTGAATGGTGAGTTTTGGAGCCTATTGGAATGCATTAAACGAAGTTGAATATGTTCCAATGGCTTTCCCTGTTCCGTTCAGCAATGTTTTCACATAGTGAGGGTTAATCCGGAACGGATTAACCCCGCTATGCGAGGCACCACTGTATAAAGAATATAGTTACATGATTCCCTTCCATATCCCTTGTACTGTATTATCATTCTGATATAGCACATACCATCTTGTATTATCATTCTGATATAGCACATACCAGTTAAGTATATGGCAGAGTCCACAGCATAATGCTCAAATAACATTGAAGAGATAGCTACTCTAATCATGGCCCAACCTAATATAACCTGTGTTCCTTGTTACTGTAGTTGATTAAGAAGCATCTGGTGAATTCCATCAAGGCCTTGCAGAAGCATTATGTGACCTCTGATGCACTTGTAACCAGCGACGATGGGGATGCCAACACCCTCTGCTGCGCACTGGAGGCAGTGTTTGTGCATGGGTTGAAGGCCAAGCACATCAAGGCAGAGACTGGCGCAAAAGGCAGGAAACTTTGGGGGCGCGTACCCCTTCCCCAGCCAGCATTTTGGACCCTGCTAAAATCCATCACACACAGGTGAGGCTTACAAGGCTCCCATTTTGAGGGGTGAGGCTGCTGATGTCACTAACATCGAAAGACTTGGTGTGCTTTAGCATCCCCTAGAGGAGTAGTTTGGTGTATTTCAGAGAGATGGTGGTGTATGGAATTTTCCGAAAGCAGAGAATAACAGGGGAGCTGGCTGATGGAGGTCTTCTTGGAAGTATTCAAGAGTGGGAGTGAATACAGACAGTAACCAAGTGATGTGATTGGTTGCATCTCACTAATCCCACATCCTATTGGTATTTTTCCTCCTCTGTACTCCCTAGGCTTTCAGATAATGAATTAATGTTGTTACCTATAATGACTTACGGGTTTAGATGTTTTGGGTTAACAAGGGCGTAATAAAGTCACTTTTTGCAAGAAACGTAATGAACAAGCATGAGATCATTATTGGCATAATGCCTATTGTTTCTTGAGGTTACTTTTAAGGAGAATTTTTTTTACATTTTCCCAGGAATTTTTCAAGTTTTATACTATTCTGTTGTTTATTTATTTTTATTTATTTAAAATATTTTAACCTACCTTTCTCCTTAAAAAGGACTCAAGTTGGCTTAGATCCTTAAAAAGACAATAAGCTAAAAACAATAAGCACATAAATATTAAAAATAAATTAAAAGTACCATATTAAAAGCAGTAAGTAAAGTCAATACTGAACACATTTAAAACCACAGAGCACGGCGATCCATTTAAAAACGACTGCTTGTGGAACGACAGCAAAGATGGGGCCGTAAGTAAAGTCAATACTGAACATATTTAAAACCACAGAGTACAGTGATCCATTTAAAAATCCGTCTCAGACCATCAGTCATTAAGGATAATGACTGCTTGTGGAAGGACAGCAAAGATGGGGCCAGCTTGGCCTCCCATGAGAGGGAGTTCCAGAGTCTGGGAGCAGTGGCAGAGAAGACCCTCTCTCCCACCTACGAGTGCGGTGGAATCGAGAGCAAGGCCTCCCCTGATAATCTTAATCACCTACGAGCATGGTGGAATTGAGAGCAAGGCCTCCCCTGATAATCTTAATGTCCAGGCAGACTCATAGAGGGAAATGAAGTATTTTAGATCGCTTGGACCCAAGACATTTAGGGGTTTTTAAGTTAAAACCAGCACTTTGAATTGTGCTCAGAAATGGGTCGGCAGCCAGCAGAGCTGCTTTAAGAGGGGAGTTATTTGTTCCCTGTAGCCAGCTCCACTTGGGAATCTGGCTGCAGCATTTTGGACCCTCTGGAGTTTTCAAACACTTTCCAAAGGCAGCTTCACATAGAGTGGGGACAAAACAGAACCTTGAGCGACACCACAAGTCAGCAGCCAGGATGTTGAATAGGAGTTCCCCAGCACCACCCCCTGAGTTCTCTCATCCAGAAAGGACTGGAGCTACTGTAAAACAGTGCCTCCAAGTCCCATCCATAAGAGGCAGCCCAATCATAAGATGTTTTTTAATAAACAGTGAAAAGTAGCTGAAAAGTAGTAATAAATACAATATTTTAAATTTTTTTGTAACAGTTAATGCAATAAATTCTTTCTTGAACCGCCCTAACAAGTAAAAGCAATCTCCCAAGCTGTGTCCATTCCACTCCCCTGTAATGTTTCAGTTAAGGGCTCAGCTGAGACCAATGTGTAATTACTGAAGGATCCTAGCTAGAGATGGGGTATTTGTATATGTCTACGAAAATGAATATCTCCGCACAGGTGGCGTTAACAAGGGTCCAGCCCCATGGGGCCAGACAGTCCACTCACCAATCTGACACGGACACAGACAGCGTGATTCTACCAATGGCTCCTCAGCGCATGATCCGCTCGCCACTCTTCGATCTTGCAGCGAGGCTTGTCCTTCCGCCTTCTGCCAGGAGTGGCAAAGGGATCACGCTCTGCAGAGCCATTGGTAGAATCACGCCATCTGTCTGTGGCAGATTGGTGCGTGGATCATCTGGCCCCCTGCGGCTGGACCCTCATTAATGCCACCTGCATGGGGATATTCGTAGACAAATACAAATACCCCCATCTCTAATCCTAGCTAAGGACTCCAGCTGAGCGCAGTTTAAAGGCATGGACTCCCCATATAAAGCAAGCTCCCATGATGAATTGGTGCAGGAAACAACTGTTGCCTTTACCTGCAACCTACTTTGTTATTTCGTGGAACTATCTTGACCCTTGGACCGGACCTGGACTTATCTTTGTGATTCCTTGTCTCCAGCAATTATTACTGCTGGTTCTGACTGATTCTCTAGCTTCCAAACTTGGACTGGGTTATCAGACTCTACCTTTCATTTATTGAAGTAAATCACAGCATCCCCTTTAGATTTCTTGATAGTGTCTCACATCTGTCTTTGTCTGGCTGACCACATCCATCAGCAGCTCTCAATCCTCCTTGCTTTTTCCTATTTTTTGGAACTGTGGCTTTAAGCTTAAGGTCTCTCTCTGTTCCCTTCTCTTTTTCCCCCCTCCCCTTAAAAAAATTATCTACAGGAACATCATTTCTGAGCTGGAGCACTTGGACTTCATCAATACTGACGTGGGCCGCTGCCGTGCATGGCTGAGGCTGGCATTGAATGACGGCTTGATGGAGTGCTACCTGAAACTCTTGGTCCATGAAAAAGCCCACCTGTCTGAGTATTACCGTTCCCCTGCTCTGCTACTGGACACTGAAGAGGTTGAGTTCCTCCTCAGTTACCTGCAGGGCTTGTCTTCCCTGGCCTTTGACCTCTCCTACAAGTCAGCAGTTTTGAATGAATGGACCATCACACCATTATCCTTATCTGGACTGTGCCCGGCCTTGGAGCTGTTGGACCCCTCAATGGGTTTGGAACCCCGGAGGAAAGAGTCGCTGGAATCCCTCTCACAGTCTTCTGGGTCAGATGAGGTTGAAACTCACCCTGCTCTCTTGCCTCTTGGTAGAAGTCGACCAGCCAGCAGACTTGCAACTTCCAACCTGAGCATCAGTACGGCGAGTTCCTCACAGCTGTCTTCTAGCCTGGGGTCTGATGGCCTCCTCCCTGGGATGTCTGTCTGCACCCAGAGCCCTGATAGAGGAGAAGAACCAACTTCAGATGATTCTGGACTTGACACAGCAATGGCAAAAGACTTGGATCAGTCCCTCCAAGAGTGAGTTGGTGGATACAAGCCACGAGCCTTATCCTTGGCATTTGCAACTATGTAGAGCCATGTGTGCTAGTGCTATACACCTCCTATAAATATATAGTGATACACATACTTGTCTGGCTGGGCCTATGGGACGCAGAGCTTTCATAACATTTGGTAACCATCCCTCTTCCTCAGTCTTCATGTCCTCCTGCCAAATCCACTTGCCCCAGATAATTTACTCATAATCTTTTTGGCATGCTTGTTGTAACTTTGGACACTATGTGATTCTCTGAATTCTCTTATTCCCTCTGCCCCACCACCTTCCATTAAATTACAAATACAGTAACAGGAATACCTGTTAAACATAATGAGCTTCTTGAAAAAAAAAAGCAGGGATTTTGTATCATGATGTTACTCGGGTTCCTTAACAAAGTGGGATGTAAGATAACAAAGGATGAGAAAACCTATCTTGTTCTCTCCTAATTCTGTGATGATTTTATTTCCTCTGAAACTTTCTCTTGAAGAGCTAGTGTGGGGCGGGCAATCTTAAAGATTAACAACAAGTTATTAAAAATACTATTGAATGGAAGACAAATATCTGGCTGGCTGGATCAGTATATGACAATCCACCTGCTTCTCCTTTCTGCATTTACCTTGCTTACAGTCAAGTTATTAGCTCTTCCCATAAAGAGGCAGACATTCTTCTGCCTGTATGGCCCTGTGTGAGGGTCTCCCTCAAATTATCAGGCTTACCACTTCTCCACAGCAATTGCTCAGTTCCCCATTTGGAATGTTTACGACAGTCTTGCTGATTTTTTTTTGGTTTTCTTACAGAAATCAAACAGCTCAAACTGTATTAAACCAACTTCTTTTTTAAGACAGAACCTCCTGCTTTTTCTCTTCATTAGTACTGAAATTCTGTAGGCCCAAATGGCTGCAGTGTAACATACACTCACACAACCACTCAACCTGAAGATTTGTACTTGGCTTTTGGGGTGGGGGTGAGGTGTGATAGGGCATTTGTATAGTCAGAAAATCTGTTTTTCTAAGACCCTGAGGGAGCTCCCCCCTACATTTTTGGCTGTTGATGCAACCCAGAGAAAGTCCTGGAGGGAAAAAGTGCCCTCAGACTGACCAATGTTAAGCACCTAATGCTACCTTATTAGATGAATCAAACTGTTAGTCCCAAGTAGACTAGACCCACTGAATGTACAGTGCTTGTTAAGTAAGCACTTGTATAGGTTCAGTGGATTTACTATAGGTGGGACTAACCATTGGATTTAACACTATCTACCTGTTCAAGATTTGATGAGTCTCAGAACAGTCAAATGACGGCTGGGTGTGACTGATTTGTTTAAGAAAGGAATGGCTAAGAAGGAATCTGAAGTCATTTGTAGGTCTTAACATACTAGGAACATGCTCAACATCACTGTACTACCCTGTGTGTGTTTGCTCCACTCCCATAATGACATTTTGAACGGTGAGAAATAAAATTGTGTATTAGGAGCTTGATATCCATCTCAGTACATAGAACTACTGGATTTTTAAACATGTTAAATCAGCTGTGTTTAAAATGCTGATTTAGAGGCATATTATATTGGCATCACATGGCAAACAGCGGTTCCTACTGGATCTGTCTGGTAAGAATATAATACTGATACTACATACAGTATGCTAAGAATGGCCTTAGTTTTATATAGCCAAAGCACCACTTTGCCTACATCAGAGTAGGGATCAAGGCATTTAGTGTTGAATGGCTACTGATGGTTCAAAGGTTTACCTGTTGAATCGACATGGCACAGCTGGAGATGTGATCACCAGATAGTTGTCCCCCCCCCCAGATTCATTGTATTTTAACTTTTTGTTCTTCCCTCAAGGGTTTTAGCAGAATTCAGCAGAGCACAGAGAAGATCAGAATCTGTCAGAGTTACTAAACAAGGTCATGCTGTAGTAGAGCCTTCCCCACCACAGCATCCTTGTCCTGCTGCTCCTTTCTGCACTGCACGGATTTCTTGTCTCACGACAGTGGAACACTCTGAGGATGCTAAACCAACTCCTGCCACAGCAGAACCTCAGCTTCCCAGTACAGCCAGCCCACCTAAAGCGGAAGAAATGGCTGGTGCCAAGATTCAAGATGCCTCCATGCCAATAGTCACTGAAGAAGTAGCAAATGATTCCTCAACTCATCACATCATCAAGGAAGAAGCTAAAGACAGAACTAGCCATATTCATGGCCAGGAAGGAGGCCAGATTCTCTCACCAGTTTCACCAGGGATCTGTCCGGTAGGAACAGCCTTTATTACCGATACTACATATGCTGAGATGGTCTTAGTTTTATGTAGGCAAAGCACCACTATCCCTACATCAGAGTCAGTTGTGAATGGGTTTGGGAAAAACAAGATTCACAAAAGTTCAAGGAAAGCAAAGAAGAAGAAGACCCATAATAGAGAAACCATAAACAACAGCCGGGTATGGTGAGTGGCCAGGGAATCCTGATTATGGGTAAGGGATGGAGTGCCATAGAAGGAGGAATGGTTGACTGGTTGGGCCCTAATAAAAGAACTCACTCAAAAACATTTGTTGTAAGTCCTACTTGTTGCCTTGTATTTACATTTCTGTATACAGTGGTGCCCCGCTTGACGATAATAATCCATTCCAGGAAAATCACTGTTAAGCGAAATAATTGTCAAGCGGGGAAAAACCCCTTTGGAATGCATTGAAAACCGATCAATGTGTTCCAATGGGGGAAATACCTCATTGTCCTGTGAAGATCGCCCATAGAGAACCGATCGCAAAAAACTCATCGTAAAGTGATTTTGACGTCATGCAGGGTAAGCGTCTAGCAGGTCACCACTGTAAATGTTTACCTGGAAAAAGGGTTAAGAATAGGGAAGTAAAGTTGGCAGCTAATTGCTGTGTAATAACTGGCTTATACTATTACCAGTTTTTTTTAAGTATTAACCCTTATACTGTAGCTTCTGCCTCTTCAGTATATTGCTTTTGTGTGTTGAAAATTGTAAAGGAGGGAGATGAGCATAGCATTCTCCCCTCAACATGTGTGGCTTTGACATGCCTGCTAAGTAGGGCTCTAGTTTTGGAAACAAATGTACAAATGAAGCATTTTGCTCAAAATGTTTACAGGCCCAATCACTACCTTGTGTGGGGCAGGTAAGGAATCTGTGAAGTGTCTTTAGCTGAGGCTCTGGGAGCCAACTGAACCCTGAGTCTTCCTGGCTTCATTGTCCCTTGTCAACTTTCTCATTCCAGGAAGATAGACAAACCTCTGTCACCCCTCTTCACTCTTCCAAGGAGATAAGCTTGGAGGAAGACATATTGGCAGGCAGGGGTGCAAACCAAGAGACCTCTGTAGGCGGAATTGGGTCCAGTACTCTCCTCTGCTGCAATAAATACTTTTGCTGTGGGGATTTTCTGTTCGCTTTACCTGAAATTCTGTGCCGTCTGAAGACAATGTTCTACCTGACCTCAGATTTGATGGTTCGATCTGTGTTCACCAAATTTAACTAATCTTAATTATAGGCATGAGCGTTGTCAGGCTTCCTCCTGCTTATAAATAAGGAGCCTGGTAGTGAATGAGTTGTGTTGATGGAGCATTTTTGTGTTCTGTAGGGCAGGAAATGCTGCTAAACTGGAACTTCCTGCTCTCAATAGGAGTGCCTCCTGAGGAAACCTTTCTCACTTGTGGCTCCCAGCCAATCCATGTCACCCTCAGAAGAAGTGGTGTCATCTCACTTAGATCACCTGACACATATATCTGCAATCTGTTACAGAGATTCTTAATCTGTGGTCTGCAGACCCCCCCCCCGGGGGGGGGCTGCAATGTTCTCACAGGAGGTCCATGAAGCCTTGAAGAAATTTTATAATCTTTTGCAGTTAAAATAGAGAAAATGAATGAATAAAAGCAAGAAAGGAAAAGAAACCTAGAACAAAATCTTAATTTCCTTTGTTTGTTTTTGTAAAACTTGGCTTTGTATGGAATCATTCCAATTAAAATATTATAAGAGGAGTGTGTGCAGTCACAGATTAATTTATTTCTCCGTTCTCTCCAAATTTGAAGATCCTTAATGATAAACATTAAATAAATATTTGATGCACTTAAGGGTTTTAAATATTTAGTTAAGTCTTGGTGGTCCATGGCAACAAAAGACATTTAAAGGGGGTCTGAGGTAAAGAAAAGGTTAAGAACTGTTGTTCTGATCCATTCAGGTTCACAGGAGAACCCTTTCGGCTGAGAGCCTGCAGTGCAAGGGGCCCTTATCTAAGAAGGATCCAGGATTTTGGATCTGAGACCCACAACCCCTCAGTGTCATCCTGTGATAAGAGTATTGAGATTTCAGAGGCATGAATTGGGACCCACCTCAGCCCTTGATTCGGTGAACGTGGTACAAATATGCAAGCCTTTAAACCTGAATATGTGGTTCTGTTAATAAAATGTTGATTTGCCATAGGCCAGTCTTTCTATGTTTCATGTGGAAATTATACAGTACTTCTGAAGGAACTGGAAGATGAAGCCTAGGGGGCTGTATATGACCCTAGTCCTGTTTTAACATGATGTCCCATCCTGAGCACTTGAGGCAAGAATGTTTACATTTCTATGCAACACTCTATGTGGTAAACACTTTGCATGAAATCCAGCTGTGTAATGTAAGCAAAGTCATAAGCTTCAGTTGGTTCCTCGCTGCTCAGTAAAGAGTTCCTGCTGCAATTCTCAGGGACAGACATGCATGCTGCCTTGGTACCTGGACACAAGTGTGCGTCCCTGAAAATCACAGCAAGGGCTCTTCATTTATCAGAAGGAATGGACCAAAATCTACAACTTTGCTTACGCTATGGAACAGGATTTCGGCCACAGTGTGCTTTAAAAAAGCACAAACACACCCCAAAAAAACAAGAAAGTCCTCCTCTTTTCTTGTCAGCATAGTCTTGTTGAATGTATTAGAACATCCAAGCAAAGAGACCCTGTGGCCTGAAGCGTATCTCGTAATAAGTGTTCTCTTTTGTTCTTGTTGTTCAACAGAAAACCAGCTGGATTACCGAAGATGATTTTTCCTTGCCTTCTCCTCCTCCTTTTGTGGAGATGGGGAAAAGCCTCCTCACTCCGTGCAGTCCCTCGTCAGAGAAGGCTGCTGTTGACCATCCATCAATCCCAAGCGGTGCCATAGAGCAGGGTGGGCCCCCTGCATCCTCCTCAGAGGCTGGTAAACCCATGTTGTCCCCAGAGAGGGAATCAAAGGGCTTCAGGGTCATTCACCGGAGACAGATAGGTAACTGTCTTTTTGCTTAGGAAACAAAGGTGGAATTAGACAGGGAAGGAAAGGGCAGAAACAGTTTAGAAAATGTGCCTGTTTGAGCTACTGCTCTTCCAGTCCCTCAGACCATGTGGCTGTGCTGGCTAGAGGATTCTGGAAGTGGTTGTTCAAAATGCAGCCTTTTCAGAGGCTGCCCCCAGCTTCCCTGGGCTGCAGAATCCACCAGATCCTTATTTATATGTGATATATGAATTGCTGCTGTGAAGGTTGCATACCTAAGAATGACGTGCACAACATCATTGGGCTAGAAATGGTAACTGGAATAATTTATTGTGGGGTGGTTATAGGTTTATATCAGGCTGCAACCCCTAGTTCTTACTCCTAAGGGTGTCTGAAATATTACCTATTATTGCTCAAACCTATAATGATGTGTTAGGGAACACTGAAGTGCCGCAGAAAAGACTGTTTCCTGATCAGTGCAGTGATTTCTACAGGTTAGAGCTCAAGGCTTATTTTGGGATGCAGCGACAGATAAATTCCAGTGTGTGACTAAGAAACTGGAATAAGGAACCAGTGTATAGTGCTATTCCATCAAGCACAGTACACGCAGATGACATATACATAGTGCCCAAACATCTATATAGTTGGATTAAAAACAAAACACTGCACTACCCTCACCACAATGTTATTGTTTGATTTCAGAAGCTAAGCAGGGTCAAGTCTGGTTACTACTTGGATGGGAGGCCATCAGGGAATGGCAGGGGTGCTAAGCTAGAGTTAGGAGAGAATCACCTTTGAATCCCTAGAGAGCCATTGCCAGTCAGAGCTGACCTTGCTAACCTGGATGGATCAATGGCCTAAAGCAGCTTCTGTTGTTTCTTTGTTCTCTCTCTTCCCCTCATCTTTCCTGCAGGCCTTTCCAACCCCTTCCGTGGTTTGCTGAAACTGGGAACGTTGGTGGGGGTGCTAAGCTAGAGTTAGGAGAGAATCACCTTTGAATCCCTAGAGAGCCATTGCCAGTCAGAGCTGACCTTGCTAACCTGGATGGATCAATGGCCTAAAGCAGCTTCTGTTGTTTCTTTGTTCTCTCTCTTCCCCTCATCTTTCCTGCAGGCCTTTCCAACCCCTTCCGTGGTTTGCTGAAACTGGGAACGTTAGAACGGCGAGGGGGCATGGGGATCTGGAAGGAGTTTTTCTGTGAGCTCTCTCCTTTAGAGCTGCGCCTCTATGTGGACAGCGAGGAGCGAGTGTGTGTGGAGAGCTGCTCCCTGTTGAGGTGTGAGTCCGTGGGGCAGGTACACAGTGACGGGCGCTTCGACCTGGTTTTTTCAGGCCGAAGGCTTTGCCTGCGGGCTGCATCTCAAGATGAGGCAGAGGACTGGCTTGAACGGCTCCATGAGGCCCTGAAGAAGTGTCGTCCTCAACAGGAGGAAGACTGGGAGACTCTGGGGTGGCCTGAAGTCATGGAGGATTTTGAGGGAAACTCTGCCAGTGGATCACCTGGCAATACTTCTGCCCTCCTGCAGTACAGTGGGACTGGCCCAAATGGCCTGGACTGGAGTTGTACTTTGGCTCCCGAGTTGGATGCAGTCAAAGAGTCTGTCCTCTACTTGGAGACCGAGAGGACATGGTCCCCTTTTATCTTCTCTTTGTCCTTGGAAGCCTTGAAGTGCTTCAAGGCCAGGAACAGGGAAAAAACCTTGAGCAACAGCTATGGGGTGGAGACCATCCAAGACATCCTCCCAGATGTGAGCCTGGGAGGGCCAGCCTTCTTCAAAATCATCACCTCTAAAGCGGTGCTGAAGCTGCAGGCTGAGAATGCCGAGGAAGCAGCTGACTGGCGCGACCTGGTCCGCCGGGTGCTTATGTCCTACCTGGAAACGGCCGAGGAGGCTCTGACTCTTGGAGGCAACCTGGATGGGAACTCGCAGGTTGCCTTGAAGAATACTGTCAAGGAGAATGGGTTCCTCTTGCAGTACCTGGTTGCTATCCCTATGGAGAAAGGGCTGGACTGTCAGAGCTTCATCTGTGCAGGTGAGGGGCTGGCAAGGGCAGTTGCAAAGAGGGAATTCGGCTCTGAGAAAATGGACCTCCCTTCTCTTGTGTCAAACCATGCTCAGGGCAGCTTGTGCCTCTTCATAGCAAAAGAAATAATAGTCCACAAATAGCAGAGGAGCCAGAAAAAGCAGAGATGACTACAATAAATAAGCCTAGAACTTGGAAAAGTTACATTTTTGTACAACTCTCAGAATTCCTCAACTGGCCGTGGCTATGGTGGGTGGACATTTCTGGGGACTCATAATCTTTTTTTTAAAAAGTAACTTTTCTGAGTTCTGCTCCTACAGCATAGATTCCCTCCCCCATTTTTCCTTCTCTGAATTTTTTTAGGGTCCAAATCCAGTAAGTACATTGCTATTGAAGCAGATATAAATGTGGAAAGCTCCGTACTTTGCTTGCATTACCTGTCAAAGGATCCTTATCAATATCGCACTTAAGGGCTGGGATAATGTATTCCTTGTGACCTGATGTCCACCACAGCACGCCTTGATAGAGATGGCCCCAAGATCTGTTGGTACCTGAGAAAAAACTGTCCATATGATGCATCAGCAGGTAGTAAAAAATATAGCAATGATATTAAATAGAGAGAGTGCTGCCCTTTAATATTTAGTTTGACTATGTTCCTTTATTTCTCTGAAGGGATCTGTCATAATTTCCAGCCATCTGGTTGCTGATGGTGATGGGAGAAGACTATTGTGAACTTAGAGCCAGGAGAACTAGATACTAGCCATATATTCCAGTCATCCTCTCGGCCTCAGATTGTCAACAGAACTAGAAATGAGAGAGTAGCATAGAAAAGAGGGGGGATCTGGCTTCGGACTTTAAGCAGGATGAGATCAAGTCCCCTGCAAGCTAATGCAGACTTTTATAACCTAGGGCAGTGGTCCTCAACCTTGGGCTTCCAGATGTTATTGAACTACAGCTCCCAGAAGCCTTCACCACCACTTCTGCTGGCTAGGATTTCTGGGAATTGAGATCCAAGAACATCTGGAGGCCCAAGGTTGGGGACCACTGACCTAGGGGCTTTCCAGATGGACTTTGACTCCCATCATTCTCAGCCAGCAGATAAGAAAAAGCTAGTATTCATGTGGCTTGCTCTCCAAGAGATGTTGGGTGGAAGTTATGGCCCCCTCAGCAAATCTTTATAGTTTGCATTTGTCTTTCTGCAGGTTGTTCCAGGCAGATTGGCTTTTCCTTTCCAAAGCCCAAGCTGTGTTCATTCACAGGCCAATATTACTGTGAGACGTGCCACCAGGATGATGAATCAGTGATTCCTTCTCGACTGATTCACAACTGGGATCTTGCCCTGCATCCGGTATGATGGGCTGGCTAGGGGAAAGAGGGTATGGGGTGCATGAGCACAGAGTATGAAGCAGGGCTCATCCCTGCTTTGATCACCTGCTCCTTTCAGGTGTCCAGTTCTTTATATATTTGCATCAAAACCTAGCATGAAGACAAATAATATTGCTGCAGCGACCAAAGTGCAGGATGTGATTTGTTTCCTAAAACCAGGCCATGCATGTAGTTTTAATTTAACCATCTATAACAGGATGGGTAACTGGGGGCACTAGATAGATGTCTTTGGTCTCCCATTCACCTTCATCCTACACCACCAACTATGCTGGTTAGGCCTGTTATGTGTTGTAGGCCAGAAGCAACAGGAGAATACACATTCCCCAACCCCAATCTATATTAGCTTTCCTCAACTTAGTCTTCTCCAGCTGTGCTAGATTACAAATCCCACAGTTCCACAGCTAGCTGGCTATGTAATTATGGGAGTTGTAGTATATCATATTAGGAAGGTTATCTTAGAGGTCTATAGGTGACTCTTGGCTTGATTTCCTGTCCCTCTTGTAGTTCATTTTTCAGAGATTCACCTTCTGCCTCTCACTCTTCTTTGTGTCAATAGACAAAGAGGGAAATAAAAAACAAGAAAGGTTTAATAAAGTCTATATAACTACAGTGTGTTGGCAAACATTGATATAGGACCTACAGAAACCGATGAATCCCGAGCAGAACAGAGAAGTGATACATTTTCTCTATAAGTGATGCAGCATATCAGCAGTGCCCTAATACAGCCTTAAATTTTTTTAACTTCCTCTGCCCCTACACAGAGCAGAGGAAGTGTTTAATCTGCCAATATTGTGAAGTAGCTGTTTTCTTAAGCCACTTCTTGATGTGGGAAATTAACAGCAGGAGGAGCCAGAGTGAATGAGGGCTCTTGAGGTGGGAATGCCACTTAGATGCAAGGATCACACCAAACAGCACACTAGACCTCTGATTCATCCTCCATCGACCCTATTTGGCCTGCTCCAGCCCACTCCAGTGAGCCCGGGAGAAAAGCCTTCTGGGTTTTTTTTGGGTGGGGGAGGGATGTGATCCTCCAGATGTTTCTAATGTATAACATCTTTAGCCTTAGTGCACACAGCCCATGGCGACAGATAATAAACAAAGATTCAGTCCAAAAACATCTGGAGGACCACAGATGGCTACCTGCAGTTTAAGCAGTGAGGAAGACCGTGGAATGCTTGCATGGAAGAGAGCAAGTGGGACTTGCCAAAGAGGTCTTCCCTTCATAGGTTTGGGAAATTGCCTACCGGCACGCATCATTGTCCTGCTATAGCTGTAAACTTTTGATGTCACACAGGGACCTTTTACAGTCAGGCTGGACAAAGTTTAACACTGCAGATGTTGCTGCACTACAGCTCCTATCAGGTTTGGCCCATATATCTAGTGGGGGTGAATGATGGGAGTCACAGTCCAGCAGCCCCTGAAAGTCCACTCCTCCCTGCTTTACAGGGTGCTCTCTCATCCAACCATGTCTCTTAGGTTTGTTGCCAGGCTCTCAAGTTTCTGAACCAAATTAGCAATCAGCCCTTGATTGATCTGAAGCTGGTGAACGAGACCCTCTATGACCATGTGGACCACATGAAGCGCATCTACCAGAGTCGGGAACAGCTGAAGCTCCTTGGGGACTACCTTGTCCTTTGCCGCAGTGGGGCCCTGAAAGAGATCACCAAACGGTAAGTCATCCTTGCTGCAGAAAGCCACCCATCTGTTGGGCTTCAAATACATTCCAGCCATCTCTGAGAAGAGGGGGGGGGAAGCTAGTGTGCTTGTAAAATCAGAGTTTGGAATAGTTACTTTTGGGAATACAATTCTTAGAATTCTTGGAAGTTTAGTCCAAAGAGGAAACTTTTCTGTGATCCGGGGTGGAATTTAATTCTTTCTTGGCCCTCTGTTCTTGCAAGCTGTGTATCCCTTCTAGCAGGGGGATTCTTTGGCTTCTGTATAACTCCTAGCACTCTGTGCAGGTCTTGACATTGACGGGGAGTCTTAACAAACTCTTACTGATCTTCTCATCTTTTTGTCTCCTTTTTTGGAAGGTTGGATCACCGGCACTACCTGCTGGAATGTCCCCATAAGTACAGCGTGGCCGATTTGAGGCAGGTATGAGATCTGGAAGTTATATAACCAGGAGGCAGGCAGAGGAAAAACTTTCCCCCAACACATCTCTCTCCAGCCAGGACAACCCATTAGCCTGCACAGTTTAGATTAGATTTGTAGTCACAAGTGGGGAGAATTTGAATTGTTAACCCCCTGAAAACGGATCTGTTCATGCTCAGAAACAATGTTTCCCTTTATTATTTAGAACTTTTGAGAGAGATCTGCAAAATAATGGGAGATGTCAGTCCTGACAAATTGAACACACACCACCAATGGTTTCTGAGATTTGCCAGGTCCCCATGTCCTTTCTGCCTCTGGTGTGGAATTCAAATGTTTTGTTCTATGTGCTCTTTATGGGGGAAAGGGTGTAAGAAAGAGCTGGGGAAACGACCTTTCTGATTTTGTTGAACTGCCGCTCCCATCATTTCTTTTCACTGAGAGTGATGGTCCAGGCTCATGGAAGTTGCAGTTTAACAATATTTCTGCCATAAACTAATCCATTACCATCCTATTATCACAGCTGCCTTAGGCATTTGATGCTGAACGCCGGTATGAATGGATAGATGGACAGATGTTGCTCTGTGTGAAAGTTGGCTGGAGGATTCTGGAAGTTCTAGTCAAAAGAGAAGTTCACTTTTTTTTCCAGAATTCTCATGAAGGATAAAGACAGAACCAGCAAAAACTCTTTCTTCTAGCTCTCACCACCTGGACAACTTGCTAATATCCCTTCTCTGTTCATAGATTGCAGACGGGGTGTTTGAAACATTTCTCCAGTCACTGATTCAGTTTGCCTCCCACCATGTCTACAACTGTGACCTGTGTACCCAGCGGGGCTTCATCTGCCAAATCTGTAACAGCAATGATATCATCTTTCCTTTTGAATTTGGCACAACCAGCAGGTGACCATTCTGTCTATGCCCATTATTACATTTTAAGTTTTCTAAGAAACAGGGATTCTGTTTTTCAAGATGTAGGGCAATGGACAGGACAGGTAGAAGAGCTGTGGTTCTCCAAACATATTCGTCATGTCCTTGAGTTTACTGGGTAGGGACAGAATCTTTTAATTCATGGTAAATCATCTATTCATTGGGCTGCAGGGATGTCATAGGTGTATTGTTGGCAGAGTTTTTGAGAAGTCGTTTCGTTTTGACTACAGTTCTCAAAATCTCCCTACCGCCACAGCTGTTCTGTCTGGGGATTTTGAAAATTGTATTCCAAAAAAGTAACTTTTCCAGTGTTCCAAAAAAGTAACTTTTCCAGGCTCTAGTCTTAAAGTGCAGCATGTTCCAGGTTGCACCTCTGGCTTCTAAGACATGGAAATCAGTGGCTGGGAGAATGGAGGCGGCACAGTTTGGTGCCTAGGAGATCCACCTTCCACCCGGAGAGATGATCAGGATGCTGCAAAGAATTCAGACTTCAGCGTCTCCTCATTTCCCCTTCCTGTACCTCAGCTCATCTCACAAAGCTAGAGCAGGATGGTGGGATAGCGGTGGGCATGTCTGGCTCACTAAAGTTTTGTGGCCTCTCTTTCTTGGCTGTGCACTGAAGCAGGAAGAGTGCCTCCTTCCTGGGATGACATGATTTCCTGATGCCTGAATCAGATTGTTTACCCCAGGCGGCAGGATGTGCCTGCAGCCTTCGTGACAATCGCTCCAAGGAGCACTTTTCATTTCTGGCTGGAGGCAGAAGCAGCAGAAGGCACTTCCTGTACTGGCTGGGCTCTTTACTCAGGGCCATTTCCTCTTGCACACCTGGTCAGCCTTAAGGGGGAACCCAGAGCTAAACCGTCTGTTCTGAACAGGGGTGAAAACCAAGCCATGTGTGTGTTGCTCGTCACAGAGAAAGAGACGCCGGTTTCCAAAATTCGATCTCTGCAAGCAGGGATGCTTGGAATCGGGACATTTGTGCTGAAATGAACGAACTGTACAAACATCATATTTCAAAGTAGGGTTAGCGACAAAAACAAGAGGTCTTGCAGCAGTGTAAAGATTAACATGTTTTATTTGGCATTAGTCTTCATGAGCTATATTCCACTTCGTTAGATGAACTTTCAAACTCATTTCAAAGATATTTTTAAATTGTGCTGGCTCAGCATAGTAGTCCTGCACTGCAGTCCCCCTCCTGAGTCGGCGTCCCCACCCTGATCTAGCTGGTTCAGGAATATGGCTGTTCCGGGTTGAAATAGTGTTGGGGTGGGGTAGGCCACCCCTCCTCAAGGAATGCCTGGGTTTCTCAAGGCCTTATCTCCTCATTAATGCCCTTTGGATTGCTTCAGAAACTGACTGAATACATTTTCTTTATAGGTGTAACGAGTGCAAAACTGTCTTCCACAGCAGTTGTCAAGCAAATGCCAGTTTCTGCCCTCGCTGCGTCCGCCGCCGGAAATACCAGCAAAAATTACAGTAGCCTTCCTCCACGCATGCTACTCCTTGGAAAGCCCCTTTGTTCCAGGGGAGCCCAGAAAGAACTGGGAAAAGGACACAACAGGCAGAGGCTGTGGGCTCAAAGAAGGCCGCCTGCCAGCCACACGTCCTGCCCCACTTGTGGGCTCTGGGAACATCAGTCGAGAAGAGAGATACAAAGAGTAGGTGGGAAGGACTTGGGTGATGCCCTTCTACTAATCCACTGCTCTCGGCTGCTTCCCTTTTCCACAGCCATCATTCTGTCCTGCCTTTTGGACAAGTACCTGCTTGTCTCATGCGCAGGGAAAACCAGACATGCATTAAGATGTTTGCAACCAGGACTTCCCAAAAGACTAGCAAACAGAAACTTTAGCAGACACATCTTGATTGAAATTGCAGGGGAAGACACTGAGGTTTGCTTTGATTTTTAAAATTAACGCACTTTGTAGCAGAGTTCTTGTGCCTTCTGCACTTTATTACAGGCTTCCTCTGAAATGCCATGTGCCAAACAGCTGCTGAATCCTCTGGGAACACATTCCACCTTTCCACCTCTTACTGTTCTCCATAAACAAAGTGACCTTCTTATAAATAACAAACTATTCCTCTCTTCCCTTTTTTTTAAATACGAAGGCTATGGATTCCAGAGATTAATTTTTTTATTTTTTCCTTTTACTCTTCTATGCAGATAATTAAAGTTAATTTAATAATGAACTAATGTGTGTGTTTCATATTTCCTCACAACCTTTCATATTTGTGAAAGATATTTTAGGGATAGGTTAACAAAAACAAAGGCAAATAACACAGGAAGCTACAGTATGTCTCAATGGAATTTAATTATCACACTTAAAGGAAGGCAGGTTAATAGATTCAATGGACATAGCAGTGTGTTACCATGATTAGAGTATTAGACTAAGATAATGAAGACCAGGTTTAAATTAGCCATGGGAACCCACCATGTTATCTTGGGCCATTTAGTATCTCCCAGTTAAATAGCAGGTTTCGTATGAGGTTAGAATGGGTTATGGACTGCTTAAGCTCTGTAGGCATAGAGAAAAGGTGGGATATAAATGAGATCTGTCTGAGAGCTCAAATGTTTCAGAGTTATATTGTTTATGTGTAAACAATGCAGGCATGCAGAGGCCAGCCACCACCCCATTCTAACTCTAAGCAGCAGCAGGAAAGGAAATAGGGATGTTAAGGTTGTATGAAATGAGAACAAGTGTTGATATTAATGTACCACTGGGTAAAAGGGAAGACTGTGTGGTTTTGGTGGAAGCACCTGCAAAATGAACATGGGCAGGAAATATATTTAGTGTGTATAACCACAAAGTCTGCCCAGCACACAAGCCCCCATTCAGAGTCCCAGCTGCAGTGTGCCATTGCAGAGCACAAGTGCAAAAAAGGCAGTCAGAAGGGATGTGGTCTCAGAAGTCTTGCTGGCAAGCTCAGCTACCTTTGGCATAGTCCAAGCAAAGCAGCAACAAGTAGGTATGCTGAAATGCTTTGGCCATAATAACCAATGTTTCCATGCTCACTTCCAGTATTCAGGGCAACTGCAACCGCTCTCTATGGTGCAGGAAGGTGCCAGAGTGCCCCCCCCATACCACAGAACCTTGTAATGTACAGGGCAGAGTGCCTCCTTCCCTTCTGGACGGGAAGAAAAATCTGCTGCTGCCGTGCTCTGGCAAAGCTTCAGCACCAATACAAATGGGTGACAGTGTGGGCTGACTGTGGACCATTTGTTGCCCATCTCTTTTGTTCAGCATCAACCATAGTGTCCTTCTGAGCAGGCCCTTAGGATTAGAAGCCTCGGGTGAGCAGTTCTGTTCTTAATGAAATTATCCATAACAAAGGAGATCATTCCTCATCTAAAGTAATGCTTCCTCTCCTCACTAGATATGATTGATGGGCAATATACCTGCTCAGGAAGATTGTATTCACCTTTTTTCTGTATGAGGCAGCATTCAACCTAACGGTTCAGGTTCTACTAGTCAAACTAGACATTAATGGAAATACATATTTCCTCAAAGATATGTAGTACCTTAGTAATCGGACTTACAAGTTAAACCTGTGTTTACCTAATTGCACAACAGAGCATGCTCAATGCAAACTGCAGAGGTGAGGAAAATCATATCCTATTTTAAATACTGTGTTTTTCACCACTTGGTCAAACGCTTCATCAAAAAAACAGCGATTTATCATCTTCTTTAGTTCTCAATCAAGTGTGGACCTACATCTCATTTGGTCAACAGAGGCTCAGAGGGCCTCTGTCGTATGTCATGTTTTCCACCAGCTATGGCTGGTTGTGAGTGGCTACCTTTCATGGACAAAGATATTTTAGCCATTAGCTGGTCCTCTAGTAGCCATCAGATTAGCTGACTAGAATGTGTTGTAGATTGAACAATCTTTCCAGACAATCCAAAAACTTCAGTTACTCAAAATACAGCTTCTTGGTACCTGATTAGGACCGAGTATCAGGAACACATCTTACCAATGCTGAAACAACCATATTGGCTTCCAGTCATTCTGAACATATTGGGGCAATGGATAGCTGGGGGCGGGGGGAGTCATCTACCTGAGCGTCAGACAGCATAAATAATCCTTTGAGAGTATCTTGAGTGCCTTCACCTTCAGAAGTAAGGCTAGATGGATCGTCTCAGCGGGGGTATCCAGGCAGTGGTAGAGTGTTAAATTTTGGAGTGCAGGTGCTTATAGCAGTTCCCACAGCACAAACCACACAAGGAAAATCCAAAGAAATGTTGCAGTGGGCAGTATCGACAAATAAGGAGCAAGCTTTCTATAATCTAATGGCTCTTATATTGCTCATTGAAAATCAAACCACACAAATACTTGTATTACAACAGAGGTGGCTTGCAACAATCTTAGTCCTTAAAATTTCCTGGGGCTTCAATCCTGCAAGCCCCGGCTCCACTACACCACTACGTATGGCTCCTACTGTATAATGATCTCCATTACAGGCTCTACTGGTGCTGACTTTGATATCTTTTCACCCATCTTTTCTTTCCCACACATAGATGGTTCCTAATGCTACCAATTGAAAAACATGGTGCTGCTTTATTTTTCTTTTAGCTCCTTCACTAATTTTCTATGGTAAATGGGGGGCAAGGGAAGAAGCCATGGGAAAAATGAGACAACGGGGAAAAAGGAGGACAATAACGTTTAGATTAGACTCCCTGTAAAAGTTTGTCAATTAAGCAGGGCATTTGTTCAATAAAAGCCTCCTCTGTGAGTTGTTGTTCTTGTTGTTTCCTCTTATTTACCACCCCATAGTGCTAAAGCACTCAGTTTCTGAACAGTTTACAACATAATTATGCAAACAACAGTTTGTCCCTCAGCGAGATGAGTACTCATTTTACTGATCTCAGAAGGCTGAAAGGCTGAGTCAGCCTTGAGCCGGCTACCAGAATCCATTGGGATTGAACTCAGGCTGTGAGCAGCAGCCGCCTACCAGAATCCATTAGGATTGAACTCAGGCTGTGAGCAGAGGCTTGACTGCAGTACTGCACTTTAACCAGTGTATCACGGGGCTCTGTGTGTGTTAAAACGGTTTTCATTGTATTTTTTAAAAAATGCTCCTTATTTTTGGTTGTAGTCTTTAATTTATCATTGTTGACTTCAGCGCTGATATTTCTTAGTAACTCAGGAAATATTTATTGGTTATACAATGGACAGGTGGGATATAATCAAATGGCATACAACAAAACGGGTGGGCAAAGTACACCTCTCAGAGGGCTACTTTTGTGGCTCCTAGCTGGTCCCCTCTTTTTCTGGCCAAACAGATAAACTGCCGATTCTGGAAGCCATCAGGAGTGGCAAATCACATTTCAAACAGATTCCAGGGCCCCTTCTGCACCATTTGGTACCCCAAAATATCTGTTTTTCAAAACTGGAAATGAATTACTAATCTCTTCTACATTTTGCATTTTTGGGTGACCTTTGTGGCCCCCCAAAGATCCTGGGGTACATGAAACCTTACGTTGAACCAGACAAAGTCAGTCTGTGATAAAGCAGTTTGGTTAATCCAACACAACCAGATAATCTAAAAACCAATGCTGTAAACCAGTCAAAATTTCAACATCTTTGGCTATTTTCCTAAACACCCCAATGCACAAGGTTGTTTTCCCAAGAGGTCTTCATTAGTGATGTTGCATCCTCATTTTAAGGATTCAGTTTGTGTTACTCATTTGCAATATCAGCCTGCATATGTGAATGGCTTATGCTTGCCCGGAAACATTTCTGCCTAAAAAATAGAAAAGGTAACTATCACCTTCCCACTGTCAGCTAGGATTCCCTTTCCCCCCCTCCTCAAATGTCATTCAGATAAGGAGGTTACAATACATTTCTGTACTACATTTCTATAAGCTTGCAAAGTGTTTCCTATACATTATTATAGTAACAACAGTCTTGCAGAGTAAGCCAGTGATTTTAAACACGTTGGGAAAATGCCTACAGTATTTATATAAATACAATGGACGTATTTTGGATGTCAGAGGAGGAAGCTGCAGTCCTTTCCTGTCTAATGCCCTTCGCCCTCACACTTCCTTTTGTTCCAGCTTTTTTCATGGATTTCCACAGGCCCCCTATTGTACTTTAAACATCTGGTGAAAAGGGTGTTTTTGCCTGGCTTTGAATAGTTAACACACCTCTGATTTTACTAGGAATTCTTGTATTGTAGTTTTTCCAGACTCTTGTTTAACTTCTTTGAAGTTTATGAATTTTATTCTTTTTCTGCTGTTTTTATTTGTACTTCCCCACAACCATCCACTGAACACAGAAACAATTTTAAAATATGCTAAATACACAGATTACAAAGGTAGTGCAGTGGGGTTTTTTTGGAAATGTAAAATGTTTTGTTTTTGTTTTAATACTGATCTACAGTATCAGCTATTTTTATGCTGTGCTAGCTGAGGAAATGGATGCTAGAGGACAGTTCTTCTCTTCAGAATTGGCTCCTCAAATGGGACTGTATCTGACACTTTCTGAAAATATTAGCTTCGCACACGCTCTTGTTTTCAAAACGTGCAGGTAGGCTGTTCTTTGTGATAACAGACATATGCCCCATCCAGTTGCTTTCCTGTATTTCTGGATAAAGGCACACACCCATGATCCTTCTGGGATCAGAGGAGCTGAATGCAATCACTTTTATTAAGTGATCCTCTGACTCATAGAGGGCGGGATGAGGAAGGTGAAATTCTGAGGCTGGTTGAAGTCGCATACATGAAAACAGAAAGACACTCTCTGAGTCACAACCCATAGACTAGTGCCCTTCCCCCCCCCACCCTTCCTGGCCTTTGGGAGACTTCCTTTGAGTAAGTAAGCTTCCTTCCTCCATCCAGTTCAGGCTGATGGGAACACCCACAACATTCAGCCTGCTTTCCTGCTGGACTTGTGAGTGGGACTCCACATGGGTTCAAGAGGCTTGGAGAAGCAGGGGCACAGCAGAGGGCTTAGAAGAGCGGTGAACCCCAAACATCTGGGGGATGACAACAACAGAATTGTGACTGGTGTGCATGTAACCACCTGTGCAGAACTGCTGGATATATGACCTGCATGCAACAAGAAGCAGCCTGGAACAAGCAGGGTGTGGTGAACTGTCTGTGGTTCTCCCCCCCTCCCCCCCAAGCAGTATCTCTCTGACTTTTGTTTCTCGGGCTGTATTCAGAGAACATTTGCCATATGCTGTCGGGACAGATACAGCTGCCCGAATGAAGATGAGCTGTTCCGGCTTCTCCAGGTGACCTTGCAAGTGAAGAAACGTTTGCTGTTAAACTGGGTCTTTTGGTAATGGTGGATATCATTGGGATGAGCTTCCTGCCCCAGGCTTTGTTCCTGCTGCTATTTTTTTTCATGTGCACATCCCCTTCATACGAGGAAGGCAACAGAAATCTCCATTTTGCGAGATTTCTACTGTTTCCCTGTTGTTCTTGACGCAGCTCAGAGCAGAGGAGGACGAGAGGCAGGTTGAGACCAGACACACGGGCTCGGGCAGGTCCGAACAGCTCTTGATACAATCAACAACAAGGAAGAGCCAGGATGTGGTTGAAGACGTGAGACCAAGAGACAACCAAACAGTGGCCAGAATCAAAAAGGAGAATCAAGAAGATGTGAGCTGACAGGTAAACCCAAGGAAATTGATGGGGGTGAGGTGCAAGGAGACTGGCTGGATATTTTCCACGGGTAGCCTGGGTGTCTTTTCATTTCACCACAGTTGCTTCAAGAGATGGTGGAAGTACAGGGCGTGAGTTGCATTTTTGTCAGTCAGGCTCCTGCGAGCAACCTGTTCCTTGTGGGGCAGGAGGGCTTGCCTGGGCAGGCATCACTTGTTGAGGGTTAGAGAAATGGAATCTGGCCAGCCCACCCCTAGTTCAGAGGAAAAGGTTGCTTCCAGGGGTTCCTCCTGAGCTCAGCTGTCATAAAGAACTCTCAAAATGCCTTCTAACTAATTCAGTTTACAAGCCAGGGTGGACAGAGGTGACAGGTCCCTGCCCTTCATCAGCAAACCTTGGCTGATACAATCCCTGGGATGTGGGGGTCTGTCTTGGGCTTACTCAGAGGAAAGAGAGAGGCAGAAGTCAGATCCCAGCTAGCTATTAGCTTGCATAATAGGAGATTCACTGAGATTGTCCTCCTTATCCCTGCACTGGGAGTAATGTTGTTAAATTAAAACATAATAAAGGACATCCATACTATCTGCTCTCTGGAAGTGCAAAATAACATTGAGGTACCCTCTGAAATAATATCAAGTGCAGATCAAGGCAAGGAAGAAGATAAAGGCCTTCAGTTTGACTTTCTTCTCAAACTCTGGTCCACTTAATTTGCTTGTAATATGGGACTTCCTTTTCCAGTCATTCTGGGTCAAGGTGGCTGATGCATTTTCTTTCCATTTGTTTGACTAATCACTCTTCAAAAGATATCTAGTGGGAAGGGCAATAATTGGTGACAATCAGTTCCATAAGTTATATTTTCCATCATGATGGGGAAAATGTTACTCAGGATCAAAGCTCAACATAAAGGCACTCAGTGCATTTAGTCCTGGATGCTACTTAGATTTCCATTAAACATATAGTGTGGCTTACTAGCTTAAGTTAAGTGCAACCAGTTACTCTGCCGCTAGTGTTTTGCAGGTTCTGGGTCTCTGTCTAAGGCATGTTCACACCTGGGCTGCATTAACTGAGCAGTGGGGAGGTACTGCATTGATGTACCACCTACCTTTTATATTAGGACAGAAGGACAGTGACCTTTGATCCCTTTCAGCACTGATTCTTTGGGAGGAGGCTACTTCTCTCGATGAGGGTGTTTCCACTAGAACCTGGCCTCAGAGTGTGTTTTCAGGGCCAAGACCCAGATCTGAAACAAAGAAAGAGGAGTACCTCTGAACATGTGCAGAGAACTTTATCAGCCTTAGGTAACAGTGTGGTGTGTTCTCCTCAAAACACCGGAGGAAATACTAGGTGGATTATCTGAGCATGCAGAAGTCGAGGACAGCAGTTTCCATATACCATCTCTGATGACAGTCAGTGCATCTCATCCCTGTTGCTAGGATTGCCAGGCCTTAGGGTGCCAGCTGAAAGCTCAGGCAGCGGCTGTGCTTCTCTGGGTCTCCAGGACTGGTATCTTATCTTCGTATGAGCAATCCCGAAGGAAGACAATGTTTGATTTTTGTGTGTGAGGTGACTTTGAAATTGGGACACCTATCAACATCCATTCCCAGCTGGCACTAGAGCTTAAGTGGGAAAGTGTCTATATGTTGATGTGTTTACAAAGTGCCAGTTTACCCAAAATCTAGGAAGGAGGAAAGGGGACTCAAGAGGCAGCATGTGGATATATGCACTTGGGTCCATTGTGGCATTTGGTGCAAGGCAGAGAGTGGAGCACCAGCCTTACAGCTCATTAACCTTCTTAGTGCACAAGTCCTAGTAGCAGTAATACAGGGCCTGAAAAATAACTCTCCATCAATTGATGGTGAGACTTCCACAAGTCTCAGCAGTCACATATTATTCTGGGACCAACTGCCTGGGTTCCTGTCCTGCCTGTTTCCACAGTCTATTGGCCCAGAAAGAATTTCCTGTGCCACTCAACTCTTGTCTGCCCTGTCTCCACGACACCATGAGGATCTGCCCTCTGGTCTTAGGTTTGGGTTCCAAATCTTAGAGTACAGAATGTTCCTGACCTGGCAACTCTTTTAACCATACATGCTTGAATTGTCTTAACTGTTTAATTTATATGCTGCCTTTCCACTAAGTACCTGCTGGTGGGATAGTTCAGTGATTTCGGTATTTAGCTGTGGAGCCAGAGACTCGGAGTTAGATTCCCCACCGCGCTGTGCCGTCTGCAAGTAGAACCCACCAGCTGTACAGTCCCAGGGTGGCCCCAGAAGAAGGGAATGGTAAACCACTTCTACGTATTTTCTACCTAGAAGATCCTGAAAAGAGTCATCATAAGTCAGAAGTGACTTGCTGGCATGTCATTATTATTATTATTTACACTAAAAATACAGTTTAGAAACTCACAATAATAAAATATAGAATCAAATCAATACAGTATGCATGAATAAAAACAGGAGAAATGGCACCCATCAATTTCAGCAGACAGATATCCAAAGCCTATCTGCGTAAAAATGTCTGCTAGGTGGAACATGTCTGGCCTCTGAGGTTGGGTGTGGAACACAGAAGTAGCCACCAAAAAGGCCCTCTTCTTGTATGAAATGGGCTTCCAGTAGTGGTGGAACATAAACAATAGGCCTTTCCTAGGGATCTTTAAAACCCAGGAAGTTTACTCAGAGAGCAGGCAGTCATTCAAACTGTGTGTCTGCAACCTGTGTAGGGCTTTGTAGGTCGTAGCCAGCACTTGGAATTGGTCCCTGAAGAAAAGTGGTAGCGAGTGAAACTGTGGTGCCAAGGGAGTCACATACTCCCTGTAACTAGGTTTGATGAGTCCTCTGGCTATTATCACTCAGTACCAGGTGAAGTCTCCCATCACTTTTCATCATACAGCCCCCTGAGGTATGCACTAAAATCATCTTCATGGGAAGTAACTAAGACTTATGTCACCATGAGCAGCTCAGACATCTTTAGGAATCACAGCAGTTAGAAATACAGTAATTCAGAAGTGGTTCATCAGGTCCTCCTTCTGCTTGTATGTAGCTTGCCCAAGACCACACAAGTGACAGGGCACATCATTCCATGAAGAACACGGAGTCCAAGTGATCTTGCTTGATCCCTCTGTTGGGAGGCACAGTGGGGATTTCGACTCCTGGCCCTGCAGCTGCCAGGTGCTCCAACCCACTGAGTTATATCAGCCTGTTTCAGACTTGGCAGAATCCCATCCTCTTGTAAACAGGCACTCACCTCTACCCTTATCAAGCAGATAAGCAGATGGCCAGTTTCCTACTAATCATTTTCATAAGCTGGGAAGAGCAAGGACCAAGAACACTGATGATAGATCTTGCCTCTCCCAAGGATGTTATCTATATAATCTCGGGCTGTATAAATGGAAAGGTAGGCCAGTTGGCCCAGTGGTCCAGATAAGAAGAGAGAGATAAAAGACAGTATTTTAGTCAAGCTAATTTCTCTTCTTGTTAACTCTCACATAATTTATTTCTGACTCACTCTCTCTCTCTCAGTCTTTCTCTTTAAAACAGTTATAAAATCTAAGTACTTTCATCCTCAGCTTAGTTTCACTTCTCTGCTTGCTGAAACCAACAGTGCTCTGCAGAAAAGTCAGTTGTCCCCAAGTTCTGCCTTTTCTTGTACAGAATGCCTGGCAATAGCTCTCTATATGTCATGACATAATCACAGTTGTCACAGTTAATTTAGTTGCATCTGTCCTTTCCAACAAGTCAATTGTGTTCAATTACAGTTACAATAGCACCATTACCATCTCCTTCCCTTGATAATTTTTTGTCAGAAAAAGACAACTCCAGCACATTATGTCAGCTGGGACAGAATGAAGCATTTAGGGTTTTTAAAAAGTCAAATATTTGCTGGGTATATTTTATGTACAGTAGTTTTGCTTTTCCAAACTGGAAGAAAACTTCATTGTAAGCAGCTAAAATTTAAAGACAGATTACCATGTCTGAGAATCTGACCCTCCAGATGTTTTTGGACTACAAATCCCAGTGATCTCTCACTGTTGGTTATGTGGGCTAGGCCTGATGGAAGTTGAAGTCCAACAACACCTGAAGAGTCACATGGTACCCACCCAGCCCTAGACTTTTACTAAAGTCTTCTTTAATCAAAACTCTGCAGCAAAAAGCATTGGACGTGATCTGTAGTTGTGTGAGCCCAGTATCTGGATTTTTATAACAAATATGGGCAAAGACCAACATTCCACTCCTCCAGAGATATCTCTTTGGTCAGTGTCAGAAACATTTGGCTGAAGCTGGATAGGGTTTTGTGCTGGGTTTGTATATATATAGTGCTATTTAGAGCTATCTAGCTGGCTGGATAGCTGGGTGGCTTAGGTATCTGTCAGTGGAGCCAGATGTTGGGGGTTCGATTTTCCACTGTGCCTCCTAGGAAAAGAGCCAGCCTGTGTAATTGTGGGGAAGCTACACAGTCCCAGGGAGTTCTTCCACAGCACCAAAATTCAGTGAGTAATTATACTGTGGCAGCCCACTAAGAACCATTAAAACTGTTGTTACCTGCTTGTTTTAGAAGAGTTTTCATGTACTACTACAATGGGGCAGTAAACTGAGGAACTCTTCCAAAAAGAAGCATATTGTCATTGCTTTCATGGCTTTTCTTGTTGTGCAATTAAAATTTGTCAATGCAAATTTGCCACCAGATTTCAATGGCAGGGCAGCATCTGTGGGTATATGGTTTATAGCAGGTGCAAGGGGATGGCCATTGGCTAACAGATCTGTCAAAGGGCTTCTCTACACAGGTTCATTTGGAGCAGGCTAAATAGAGTTTTTGTAATGTCAGGTAGAGATCCATTATGCCACTTGGCGCAATCCTGTGTGACCCACCTGCCTGTTGAAAACAACAAAAATAAACCACTCCCTCCTTTCCCTCTTCTGTCTCCTTCTGCTTCCAGAAGAAAAGTTTAAATATCTGTAAAAAGTTGTAAGTGTTGCAGCGCATCAGCACCACTTTTTGTAAGTGGTGTATTGTAC